TTTTTTTTTTTTTTTCCCCTCCGGTTGAAAAAGCATCGCACTTAGGCCATAGAGGATACCGGCTCCCTGTCGGGAATTCAATGGGCGCTCCAGCCAAAGCCATTTGCCGAGAAAAAGAGAAAAAGAAATGTCCGTTACGGAACATCGGTATCGTCCCGGAAGGATTTCCTTTTTTGTTAAAAACAAAACAAAACGGAAAAGAGGAAAGAAAAAAAAAGAGGAAGAGAGAAGGGGATGAGACATTTTGTGCACGCGTTTATTTATGTGTGTGTGTGTGTGTGTGTGTGTGTGTATGTGTTTTTTGGAAATTGCTACACCGTTACGAATTTACGTTGTTCGGATCCAGAATTTTTGCGATTCTGGTCGACCGACCCACTTCAGGACAGGATCGATTCGCCGTCCTCTCGAACACTCGATGCGCTCGACCAATTGCGATTCGACTCGATGCACACATGTGCGCATCGTGCGAGACTCTCGTTAAAAAAAAAAAAAAAAATTGGAAGATTTAATAACGAGTTAAAAATCGTCGGAGTGGTGTGGTGAAAAAGTTTGTCGATCGATGGGGAAAGAATCACGAAGAATCAACGATAACCCAACGATAATATCGATTACCATTATCATTATCCGAACGAAGAATCGGTGAGAGCGTGCTTTTACTCTCCATCGGGCGGCGACTGACGACTGGTTTACGCGAGGAGTAATGAATGGACGGACCCGTCTGTTCGTGCATCGCGCCGAGTTCATTTATTTATTTCTCAATTAGCCGACCGTGAAAATTATTGGAAACAGTTTGCGTTGCACAGACGAATCGTATCGATTAATTCCTCGATCCGAATACCGGTAATCGGTATGAAACGACTTTACGTCGAAAAAAGAAGAAGAAGAAGAAGAAGAAGAAGAAGAAGAAGAAAAAGTGAAAGATGACGTGGAAAGAAGAAGGAAAGGGGGAGGGGGGAAAAAAGAACGACGAGCGAAAAGAGAAAGGAAGACAAAGTTGAAGGCGAGAGAAAAAAAAAAGAAAAAGAAGAAGAAAAAACGGATCGTAGACCTGTTGCAACTTTCACCAGAGTGGAACACGATCGATCGATCGACTCTGGTTCAAATGGTTAAAAGCGATACCGACCTTGAAGGCAACACAGCAAGATGATCCCAACGAGGAACGAGATGTGACGTTGCATCCTTCGTGGTGTGGACGATCCTTGTTCGGACCTTTTACCACGATCGTGTATCAACGGAGTCGTTATAAGTCAATTTTCTCGAAGCGTAGCGGGCGGATGGCTGCGGACGATTATCTTATTGCGGGCAGACGACGTTGCAGTGCTCTTGCCACCGTGGTTAAGAGGAAGGATTAATGCCGAAGGCGCGGAAAGATGGGAGAGAAGACGAGGTGGTGGCGCCGTGAGGAAGGAGAGGAGGAAGTGCCCTCTTCGACCTCTATCGTCCTTCGAGGTCTACGAACGACTGAGCCGCACGAAGCAACGACGGTCCGGCTATAGCCTCCCCTTCCTACTTTCACGTGGCGTGCTCCCGTTTCCAGTGGAGGCGCGGACCGGAGAGCCTCTCCATGGGCCATTTGCCATTACCATCATCGTCGGTGACGACTAGCCAAACGGTAGAGAGCACAGCGACGAACCACTGTTTCTAGGCCAACTCTTCCTCCTCCGCATCATTCTCCTCTTTCTCTCCTCCTCCTCCTCCTCCTCCTTCTTCTTCTTCTTGTTCTTCTTCTTCTTCTTCTTCTTCTTCGTCATCATCTCGAGGAAACGGTCTTTTACTTTTCCAATTCCATCGGTATCGAGTACAAGTCATCTCGACAAACCTTTTAGCAATCGAGTGTAATATACGTAAAATAACGAGAATCCTCATAAAAACTTGATTGTTTGATACTCGAATACTGATAGAAGAAATATTGATTGGTTTCCCCGATCAAGATGTCATTCTCATCGAGTTACGTTATTAAATTAAATATGCACAAAGTATATAGAAATATATTTTAAACGTAATTTCGTTTCGCAATTTAATTAAGCCTTGTATTTAATTAACTTTGTGGTATACGTTACGTAAAGTAGATATTATTATCATGTGTCAGTTAATTAAGCCTGATAATTGTAAACTAATATTATCCGCGTCTCTACGCTTTCCTAGATTTCCTAGATTCGACGAAATCCCTCTCGATGTTCCAGTTTCGTACATCTAATGTTCGAACGAGAACTAAAAAGCGTAGATATACACTGGTTGTTCTATACGTATGTATAGAGAGGAAAGTGTGGCAGTGGTCCAAGGGAAGAGAGGCCAAATGTATACCGGAGGCACCGCTCTCCAATGGTGTACAGGTGCAGCTGCAGCCAAACCTATCCATTCGATGTTGTTTGTCCGAAGATTGGGAGGGGACATTCGTCAACATCAACCGTCATAGTATCTGTCCGTACTGTAAAGTGTACGCACATACGTATATCTACGTATCGGTCACTTTCGTACTTTTTTCTTTCTCACCTGGACTTCACCATTAACCCACTTGCACTTGCGTTTAACACGGCAGCCTCGCCTAACATAGCTTGTAACTGTACTCGAATTTCCAGATGGAGTAAATGCAAGCAATTGATTCAAGGTATTAGAAGAAAATAAAAAAAAAAAAAATTCATTTCCAAATTGTTCACTTTTTTCACAATCGAACATTTTCTAACGATTTTTTAACGATTCTTTTGGTTTCAATCACGGAAATCGTGTACTCTGATCCTCCTCGATCAATCGGGCCAGGTAACCGTCTACGTGTTACAATTCGCATGTTTTTGCATGTGTTTCACGACGGCCTTAAAACGACTAAACGATCGAGCAACGACCTCCTTACCGTATCGCTATGAAATTCTGTCTTTGCTTCGTTCATTTGCTCGAGAATAATGCCATTTCTAAACGTTCTTAGTTCTCATCCTGCGAGGAATATTCAAAAATCGCGAAAAAAAGGATAGATTAACGTTATGAATAGTATTAGTAATATTATAAGTACAACTTTGTACACATATATCATAATATATGTATAATATATCATCATAATATGTAAACGTAATGATGATCAAACAGAAACGTTCTTTAAGCGAATTGACTTTGAATGGATTCATTCATTCATTCATTGTGAATCTATATATATACTTTCTTATGTACTTTTATAACCGATATTCGATAAAAATAATGTCAAAATGAATTTTCTTATATAATGTCTTTTTTATACGCGCGCGCGCACACACACATACACACATATATATGTACATACCGCTAATATATATTTTTATTCTCAATCCAATTTTCCAATTAAATCTGATCGGCTCTCTTTTGCAAAATTTTTCTATTCTACTTGAAGTCAGTATAATATTGATTGCTTGCATCGTTTTCGTAGTTTCATAAACGATTCGTGTTTCGATTTTATGTCATTTCCCGCACATTTCCTTTCCACGTGATTCAATAATACTCTGTAACAGAATCTTAACACATCGATTCAACAAGATAATTTGACCACAAATTAGGCCAATCATACGAATGAAATCAATTTTATTTTTATGTTCTAATTGAACATATGTGATATGCTCACAGATAATCTTATTTGCAAATTTTCTATTAATATGTACGTTTAATTTCTTAATACTATATTAATTTTATTTTTTAATACTATACAGGATATTTATTTAAAATAAGATATCTTTGGAAACATTAAAACAATGAACAACAATGAAAACAAACTGATAGGTATATTGTGATATTTAAAAAATCTGACGCATATATATATAAAATCCTTGCAACATATAGAAAAAAGTTTATATATGTATACATATAAAATATATGTATTCCAATGTAAGAATTTAAATATATAAAAATAGATATATGCATATATTTACGATATATAAAAATTGAATTGAATTAAATAAATAAAATCAATATTAATTTCATCGATTAAGATTTTTAATCAACAGATTAGGTAAAAAAAAGATAATAAAATAAATCAAATATCAAAATCGTTTCTTAAGTCTATAAAGTTTGCAAAACAAATATAGACAAGGAAAGCATATAATGACAAAGGATAGAGATAAGTTAAAAATTGTGAAATCAGCGCCATCTCTAAAGTATCTAAATGAAACTAATATAGATAAGGACAGCAAAAACTTAAAAAAAAAGATAAGAATTGATTTTCAACGTCATCTCTCGAATGCTCAAGACATCTCTTCGAAAATAGTATAAAAGAGTGTAAAGTGTAATAGATTAAGGCTCAGCATCATCTTTTGAGTATCAAAACAATTTTCCAAGAGTACTCGAGAGATGGCGTTGAAAGCCAATTTTTATCTTAAAAACTCTCCTTATCTATATCTTTACTTCTTTACTTACAATTTTCGATTTTTCTATTTATTATAATGTTTTATAATACATTTTTTTCTATTCTAAAGCAAATCTTATTTTGTATTATTTTGTATTATTGTAAAATAAATTTAAAATTTCTATTTCTGTAACATTTTTTACTTTACTTGTAATTAATATTTTATTTTATAACAATATATTTATAATTTTTCTATAAAGATTAAATTTCACAAGAATATAAATTAAAATATTATATTATCAAGAATATTACATTATAAAAAATTAAAATTATATATGAAAATAAATTTTTCACTAATTTTTGAAATCAAATAAAGCGCGATTTTATTTTTTCCCTATATATTCCCTATATATACTTACATTGAATACTTTCATTGAATAAGAAACTTGTTAGAATGCACTCTTTTGTGAAACAGTACCGTCTAGCGGAAATTGCTATTTTAACTGAATCACCATATACAATGTTAATATAGTTAACGATTCTAGCGCGAAGAATTTTAATTATAATTTTTTGTGATTTGAAAGCATAGAATAACATGGCATCATCCGGTAAAAGTACAAGAGAAGTTTTATTATCTATCGTCGATGACATTGAATTGATAGCAAAGTATGGTTCGAATAAATTATTATTATTAAGATTGACATGCTTAAATTATTATTTTTAATTTTGTTATTTCTGTTAATTTTATTATCTTAGAGAAATGATAGAAAATACGATAGCTCAAAAACCATTGAAACTGTCGAATGAAGAATATGCTCAACTAACAGAATTGTTAATTGCCAAAGACAATGAATTGAAAACAATTTTAAAACGAGCAGCTGAACAAGCAAAAATTAACCTGAAAATGGAAGCTTTAAAAGCTGAAGTTGAAAGACAAGATCAAGATATTCAACAATTACAGCGACAATTGAAGGAAGCAGAGCAAATTTTAGCAACTGCAATTTATCAAGCTAAACAAAAGTTACAATCTATTGCTCGTGCTAATCAGAGACCTGTACCATCTGAAGAATTAATTAAATATGCACATAGAATAAGCGCATCGAATGCCATATGTGCTCCCCTTACCTGGCAACAAGGAGATCCTAGGAGACCTTATCCCACTGGTAATCTTTTTATGTTTTTGTTTTTTTACAAACTATGATGATTATCGTTATTATCACAGATATTGAAATGAGATTGGGATATCTTGGACGATTAAGTGATCTTCCTTTAAATGGTCAGATGCCAGGTACTCATCCTGGATTATCCTCAGATTTGCACAGAGCTGGACATCCAGTAGGTGGTACGTTTGTAAAAATCTACTATATACATTTATCTCTATACTTAAATTTTATATTTCATATAATAAAATAATTGTTTTAGAACCACCTGCATCACAAGCAAATCAATTTGCATGGCATTCATCAGGTGAAATTCATATGTCTATGAGTGGACAAGGGAGTGGTGTTATGAATACCCATAAACAAGAAACAGAAGATGTTGAAGTTATGTCAACAGATTCTTCGAGTAGTTCATCTAGTGATTCACAATAAACATTCTTTTTTTATGAAATTCAAGTAAATTTTATAATTCCAAATTTTTCATAACAGAACCAGCCATTTCTAAGAATTCGATACAATGACATATATAATATAATTTTCATCAAATAATTCTATAATAAGATACTAAATAATATAAACTATATCTTTTATTATCTATTATTGAATATTTCATTATTTATATATCTATTAATACATAAAAAAAAATCACGAAGATGTAGAATCTAAATGAATCTAAATGCATTGTATTTTTTATATGCTCAATACATAGATTCAAGTAAAATTTGTGGTAAAAGACTGTGTAAACAATGATGCGTGTAGTACATTTCTGGATGTGCCTGAAATGGTATACAGAATAACATAGAAGTTTTTTCTTTTTCATATCATTGAAAATTATGTATTGGATAACATTTTGAAATTTAATTCTTGATGAAGTTCTCTTACTTACCAATTTAATTTCATCTTTGAAATTCGCTTTTTGAAATAAAATATTTTGATTGGTAAATACAAGTCCAAATAATTCACAATCTATTCGTATTTTGTCTATCTCTTTATATAATAAAATTTGTTGCAATTTAAGTCCTGGAAAAGTGAAAATTTTACTATTGTATCCTGAACTCATGATTTTCAATGCCATTCTGAAACATTTTTTAGTTATATATTAAAATTAAACATATTATATCATACATAATTCATTTCATTAATTAAAATTCAAACATATATGCATACCTTCTTAATTTTTGTATACTAGTCATGGCTGCGCAAATAAGTAATGGAGACAATTGTTGAATTAAATGACAAACACGTACATAATTTTTTAAATACCAAGCAAATGATATTTTTATTGACAATTGCACATCTGGAGATTTCCTACAAAAAATGACGACGAAAATCATTGATATATAAATATATGTATAGGATATTTAAGGAATGGTATAGTGTGGACAAAAAATAATTTTAAATTTTTTAATTTAAAAATGAAAAAAAAAATTAATATTTAAGATCTTGTTTTTAATTAAATCAAATTAACTGAAAAAAAAATTTTCAGATACAAATAAAATTATTTAATTCTTAATTAAAGACGACTAAAATTTATATCCAATTGAAAATTAGTCAATTTCTTCAATATTTGAAAAAATTTCAAATTTCATTTATTTGAAAAAACGAAAAAATTTTTATTTTTTTTTTTAATTATATTTTTGCATCTTTATATCATTCTTTGCTTGCTAGTACCACCTATCCTGAAATTTTATTCTATATTTATATTCTTATATTTCATATATTTATTACTAAATATATGAATGATTGATTTTGTGTGCATACCGTAAATAAAGAGGAAGTTGTAATGCTCTCATTAAGGATTCTGTATTACCCATGTGCAAAAGAATGTATAATGCTTCCATTTGTTGACGATCATTGTTCAATGTTAATTTTTTTATGTTTTTTTCAATAACTGAAGAATCTTCGGATTCATCATACAAGATTAATAAACGCGTTATGCATTCAATGAGGTGTTGATCATTGATTTTTGCATTAAATTCAGAAATACTTCGTTCGCATAATCTGTAATTATTTTTCTACATTTATTATGTTAATACTGCGATTTTAATTAATAATTTTATACCTTTGCGCGGAATAAACCAAAAATCGAACTATAGGTTCCAGTAATTGAATGTTCATAGAAACATCGATCCTTTGAATCGCAGCATCTTGTCTAATGGATCTCAAACGATCAAAGATAAAATCGTATATTATTATCCAATCTACATCTGTTCGCGTAGCTATCCTGAAATGAGCATGTATATATTCATGTATTCATAAAATTCATAATATATATTTTGTACAATTTCAATCGTATGCGTACTTAGTAAATAAATATTTAATTGTCGACAATAACACTGGTGCCGGACGTAATTGTTTCATATCAGTCATTATTAATCCTGCTGCTGGACGACTAAAACATTTTATAGTTTTTTTTGGATCCGCTTTCGGTAATTTTGTTCCTTTTGCAGTTTCGTCGATCTCAAATTTATGTAATAAACCTTCTTTCTCTCTGCTACACATTGTTATAAATTTTTGAAATATTTTTATCATAATGTAATATATACAGAAAAAATAAAATAATTGTTTATAGATCTGATATATGAATATTATGTTTCAAAATATTTCATTCAAATATTATTTATTTATATTTATTTATATAAATGTAAATATATAAATTCATTTGTAATTTATATTTATTCAAGTACAAAAATATTAAAGAAAGAAAAGAAGATATAAAAAAAAAATTTATTATAAAAATATATAAATTATTATAAAATTTGATTTTCATATAATTATAAATAATTATAAAAATTCTCATTAAGTTTGTTTTAATTTCAATTATGACTGTATGATTATGACTGAAACATCATTCGAAAAACATAATAAAAAGAAATTATCTTTCATATCGGTATATATATGCAATTATGTACTTACATAAAACGTTCTTTGTCTGGACACATTAATAAACATGTTCCTTGTATAAAATCGGTCATATCGAAGAAAATCACTTTAGTCAATGCTAATTGCAATTATCGGATTTAAATTTCGTATTAACGTATTATAAAAAAAAGGTTATGTCGATTGTCGTTTGATATATATATATATATATATATATATATACACATACACACACACACATCCAATATAAACACATATATAAATACATATATATATTTTCCAATACACATTCACATAAATGACAATTCGAAAATGCTTTTTATAAATAAGCAATAAAAACGAATTCTATTTTCATAGATATTTATGTTCTCTAAGAAAGTGAAATATATACACATATATATATATTATACATGCATTATCAGATATATATCATACATACACTTTTTAGCGAATACGTCATTGAGCATATATATATTTATATATCACGTTCCGAATTAAATTAACGTATAAATTAAAATGTTATTTATGATTTAATTTACTTAAGATATTTTTAATTACATAATTGAAATAGTTCTTTTAGTTGAATAGTTCTATTAAAAATAATAGATTTTTTTTATTTCGAAATAAGAAAGTCACTTATTTGCATTCTTAATGATAAAATTAAAATAAATTGATAAAGATCGAAAGAAACATTCATATATGTCCTTGCTTGGATTGCATACTATACACCTGCTACATTGCGTAGTCATTTCGTCAACATCACCGTTATTACACGAAGGTTAACGTTCTTGCGTAAACTTTCTCTTCTCTTTCTTCATCTTCTATATGTTATTTTTCGACCTTTTTTTCATTTTTTACTTAATCTTTGAATTTCGCAATTTCGATTAATAAATAACTTTCTAACGCACAGCAGAAATCAATATATAACATTAAATTTTTTAATTAACAACAATATTATTTATATTTGATATATTAATATTCGGTGATGTTGAATCTGTTTAAAATTTACGTCAGGCGAGAAAAACCGTTAAATAAAATAATATTAAAATATTATTATATATTTATATATTCGGAATTATGATAAATGATCTTTATTGAGGACTTTTTTCTGTAATTTGCTTCCAATGAAACAATTTATTCTGTTTTTAATGCGACTTTCTTTTGAATTCGTTCCATATAGTATAATTGTGCAAGATATATATATATATATATATATCGAAAAATTTCACATTATTCAATCACGATCTTCGGATATATTATTCTCTAATTCTTGCTTTTTAATTTAATTTAAAACGTATAGAAAAGAATCATTCTTTTCGATTCAAAATATATTAAAAATTAAAAATAAATAATAGTACACAATATCATTACATAATGGTACACATATTCATATGTATATTATTATTGATCCTATTTTCATATAAAGTTACTAATTTTAAATTTCTCAAGAATAATAAAAAATTTTAAATATGTATTATTATAATAATTATTATAATTATCATATAATCATTGTTATCATTATTATTATTATTAGGTCATTATTGTTATTATTTTTATATATGCGAGAAGGAGATTGAGAATTATACGTCATACGTGTGATTATACATGATTATACGTGTGATTTTTATAGGAAAACCGTGACGCTTATTTACGTTTAATCATAAAATTCTTCGAAAAAAATGTTAAAATCTAAATTTAAAACCAGATTCTAAGATTATATTTACGTATATAGTACGTAAGAAAGTCATTACCTCAAATTGTTATAACGAAATAATAATGATACGGACAATTATACAAACGAACAATTATATTCTGATAGAGATAGAGTCATTCCATCGAAGATTTACAGAACAAATTTTGCTATAAAATATACGTATAAGGAATTAGATATATATTTAATGTATTTTAAAATTAAAATTATAATTCCAAACTGTAACATTCAAGTTTCATTGGTTGAACTGATTTTGTCGAAATATTTAAGTAAAATAAAATGGACACGTTCCTTGAACATATTTATATTTTATTCTCATATCATACGTATTACGTAAAAAACAATTGCAACGAAAAATATAAAGTATGCTTTTCGTTTTATACATTCATTCCAATGAATTCAAGAGACAAATTTTCTTCGTCTGACGAGAACGAGATAATTTTTGAAATGTCAAAATATTTCATGTTATTAATTTAATAAGATAAACAGATAGACAGATTTACGTAATTCAATTGTTTCATATTAAGATAGAGATTAAAAAAAATCCATCCGTTGTTTCAATACGTACCGATGCCCACTATTTCATATTTAAAATTCATAGATACGTCATATAATAAGAGGAAATTTGTTCCATTATTTATCATTATATATATATATATATTTCTTTGACATGTATCAATGGAATTTCCCGCGACACTTGCTCACAGGGGAAGAACGATTATAAGAGGAAATAGTACGAAACCGTTGACGTTATTTGCATCACGCTATAGGCAAGTTAAGCGGGTAAAGTAAGAGGACCGACGGCAATTTGTGGGGTACACATGACCTCCAGGAAATCCTTGTATAGAGAAACGAACATCGTTGCATTGATCCAGTCTTTCTTAAAACATCGTCGATTTTACACACACCGCACACACGGTTGTCGTGAATACGAGAATACGATATCACCGTATCGAAAGTAATAGTAAATCATCGAAATCCATTTATTTATTCTATAATCAATCTCACTTTTTTTCCCCACTTTAAACAACGATAAACGTAATGTCGATTTGTGTAAATCTTTGCGACAAGAAAATGAAAAAAAAGGAAGATTCGTAAAGTTCATAAAATTTTTCGACAGACAAATTTGATCAACATTTTTCAAGGAATTGCCATTTTAGTGTAAGTTTGTGAAATAATAATAAAAAAAATAACGATCAGTAACGATATTGTTATTACATAAGCAAATTATTATATTATATATTGTCAAAAAAAGATTAACAATAAATTATTAATACACAGCCTACTCATTTAAGTTATTGCTTTTAATGTATGTGTCATTATTTATATTATCAATGATTTATATTTATTATTTATTATTTATTGTTTTCGTACTTATTTCTCGTAAAATGTGAAACATAATTCATTCCATGTGTATATCGTTCGGTCAAATTTTACGTTACCATGCATCAAATTCATATGATATCTAGATTAGATAAAGTAAAATAAAAGTCACATCTTTTCCCTCCCTCCCCTCCCTTCCCCCTCTATTTTCGTCGTCAATTTCACTGCTCGATGCAATTTCTCTCCTTCTCTCTCATGATGTTTGTACATATAATTTTCTTTGCCTATAAAGTGCATCAATAGTGATTAACCGTGAATTACGCAGCCTTTTATCATTTTATGTTACTCGTAATATTTCATAGCTTTATACATTTACAGATTGAAAATGACGGGTCGGAAGATCAATTTGTATTTGTTAGAATTCTTTTTGCTGCTTCACAATTGTCTATCAGGTGAGTGTGAAAATGAAAATAAAGAGAAAGAACAAACATACATACATATCAATTATTCGCATCGATGCATATATATGTATATAAAATGGAAAGGAATTTATCTAAATTTTGCACTTTATAGTCAAAAATTTTGAATTTTTGCATATTTTGTAATAATAGTTACGCGTGATGAGTACTTTTAATATACGTACTTTTTAATATTATTTGGATAATTCTTTATCTCTTTAGAAACCGTTATAACTGTGCACAATGACTTTGAAATTGGAAGTATCGATCCAGAGACAGCTGATGAATTGGACTGGACGAAACATCCTTGTAGACGTAATTGCATAGACGAAGCACCGCCTATGCAATGTCATTATGTCTTTAGGTTAGAGGCTTATCACACAATGAGCAAAGCGTGTTACGATTGTCCATTCAACATTACAGATTGTTTTCGTAAACATTGTATTCCAGCAGATGGTATCGAACGATCGATTTTAGTTGTTAATCGTCAAATGCCTGGACCAGCTATCGAGGTATATATGTATGTATATATATAACGGGAAAAATGTATCGATCGAAAGTAATACTGTCGATATCGCGATAAAAATTTATCCACATGTTGAAAATTAGAAATTGAAGAAAGCTAATTGAAGAAATAAATATAGACAAGTTTGTATTTTCGAGTTTTTGCATATGAAAAAATTATTTCACGTGTTATTTATTTATTTATTCTTTCTATTTTATACATAAAATTTAATATTATCAAAAATTGATAAGTAAATTTAAATATTCGTAATGATATATATAATTAAAAATATGCTATTTCATTATTCGCTGTTTTTATCTAAAATGTATAAATACATTTTTTTTTCTTTCTTTTTTCTCTTCTTTTTTTTTTCGAATTTTGCATAATTATTAAATATAATAATATAGAAAAAACTGCAATTATATTAAAAATATTTATGTATACAGTTGTACTCAATTGATCATAATTACATATCAATATTTTGCAACCGTTTAAAAATGTTATTTGCATATTAATTTATTATTTTTTTTCGTAGTTTTTAAGCATCATCATTTGTAATGATGCGTTACATAAAATTCCGATTTCCGCGATATTTCACGATTATTCATAACTAAACTGGAATCTATTCTGAAATCTATTTGTCGACGAATAAATTATACTCGGTTATAGGTGTGTCAAGGTGACAGGATAACGGTCGATGTAATAAATTTATTGCACTCTGAGAGCACGACGATGCATTGGCATGGCCAACATCATGTTAAAACTCCGTACATGGACGGTGTACCTTACGTATCTCAATGCCCAATTTTGCCGGGTTCAACTTTCCGTTATGATTTCATTGCCACGGAGGCGGGCACACATTTTTGGCATTCTCATTCAGGTAGAAAAGAAGGAAATTTCTCTATAATTATTCAACAATCTAATGATGCGACACGTATGATCTTCAATCGAGTCCGTAATCCATTCTTAGGCTTTCAACGGGGTGATGGAGTGTTCGGTCCGTTAATTGTACGCACACCTCCAAAAGTGAATTGGCACAATGATTTGTACGACATCGATGAATATATTATCCAGATCTCGGATTGGACTCATGAATTAGGAATCGATAAATTCTTAAATCATCATCACGCAGGCGGAGATAATAAACCGCCTAATATATTGATTAATGGTTTAGGTCGTTTTACAGTTAATCGAATCGAAAACAATATATCCGCTATAATGCCGACCGCGATCTTTACGGTTAAACAGGTAATATTAAACAAACGGATGAAAAATATATATATATATATATAAAATAAAAATTTTTATTTAGAAAATGATATTATATCATTCCTTTTTTTATATTTTTACAGAATGTCAGATATAGATTTAGACTCATTAACGCCGAATTTCTCAATTGCCCAATAGAATTATCGATCGATAATCATACTATGCGTGTAATTAGCTCGGACGGACGTGATATCGAAGCTATCGAGGGTAAGTATCGCTAGATAAAGACGAGGAAAAATTATTAGGAAGTAAAAATTTTGTTTACAATTATAGCGGAATCATTGGTAAGTTACGCTGGCGAAAGATTCGATTTCGTTGTTGAGACGAATCAAAATGTAGATAACTTTTGGATACGATTCCGCGGATTAATGGATTGTGACGAAAGATTTACTAAAGCATATCAAGTTGCTATACTACGATATGAAGGTGCGACCAACAAAGATCCGAATGAATTAGTCGGATACAAATATAAATCGAATTATTCGATAGATGGTCAGGTATTATAATCTCAAATTTTGTTGATTCGTTAGTTAGATTATAGAGTATAATAGAAGTACATCATATATATTTATATCTTCTATTTCAGCGTATAAACGCTTTAAACGAGGGTACAGAAACCAATAATAGTATCAGCATACCTTTATTAAAAGCCATAGATAAAAATGATAAATCAAATATCGCGCATCCTGATTACCAATTTTATGTATCCTATGATTTTTACAAGAAAGATAATCCACATTTCCATCGCGGAAAACTTTATGGATTTAATCAAGGTAATGGATACTGTCTACATTATATATACATATGTATTATACATACATATTATTACTTCTTTTATGCTATTCGATGT